ATGTATATATATACTTTTTTTAAACTAATGACTTTAATGCCAAAACTTTGCTGAACCAAGAAAAATATGGGTTTAATGTTCTCTGCTCATTTTTTTTCTTCTTTAAAAAAAATACAACCCAAATAAAAGAAAGGGAAACTTATTAGTATGTAATGTTTGAGTCTATCCCATTTATACACAACATTGTAAACATATATAATCTATATTACATGTGCTTCATTTCTGCCTGGGTGTGTTTTTTTTTTTTTCTTTAAACCTTTTTTTATCACTAGAACACCACAAAAAACCAAAACAGAACCAAACCAAAAACCAAAACAAATAAAAACAAAACAAAAAAACTGAACAAAGAACACAAGTTACAGGTTATTTAACATCTTTCTGTCAAGGGTCCCTTCCCCAGTCTCCTGGGGGCAGAGTGGTCAACAACACAGTCCAAAGGAGGGCTCACGAGCCATCCGTGATGCAAAGCCAGCTCCAGGGAACGGGTGGATGGGGAATACTGGTTTTAAAAAAGGGGGCTTCACAACAAAGGGTTTGGTTTTGCCCGCTGCAGATGCTGAAGGAGGTCTCAACACGCGGGACCTGGGAGCCGAGGCTCCCCACTGCTCCTGTATCCTCGAGTCCATGTCTGGAGTCTCTGGGTTTTCTTTTTTTTTTTTTTTTAAATTTTAAAACGTCTTTTTTTTTGTTGCTGTCGTTCTTCTCCCCCTTGGTGTGATGAGCTGAGCCGAGTAGCTGGGTCCTGCCCTCCCACTGGGTCCTTCATAAGTAGATGCGCCGAAGGTCTCCGGGAGATGTGATGGTGTTACACTGGGGACAGAGCTTCTTGGCACCCTGCAACCGGCAGACGAGACAAACACGTGAGAGAATGAAGGAGGACAACCCGCACGATCCTGCCCTTGGCCTGGGATCTCCAGGAGAGCAGCACAGGAGCAGGGGGAGCAAGGCCACCCCCCTTCCCCTCCAGGCAGTGCCATGCCTTCCCAACAGTGGGCACAAGGTGTGGGAAGGGGGAGCCCCAACACCTTCCCTGCCTGCCCTGCAAGACCCTCGCCCCACTCCTGTCTCCAGCATGAGGTGGCTGGGCAGGCAGGAGCTCTGCAGGAGGCTGAAACCCAGAGCCAAGACATACCACCAAACTCCGCAGCTCCGGGGAAAGGAGTCTCTGCAGATGGATTGGCCTCAGCCCCCCATCCCACCGCACTGTTGCTGCTGGCTGCCAGGCAGATTTGCTCCCTTCCGTTTCCCTTGCCCCCCTGCAGCCCCCGATGAGCCCGCTCAGGTCACTGAGCAGGCATAAAACCAACCCAGCCAGAACAAGTGCAGTTTTCAGCTGGGATGACTGAACCGGTTCACGGTGGGGTTGGACCATTCCTTTCATGGAAGCATGCTGGGGGGAGTGCCTCGGCCATCCTGCGAAAGCCCCAGAGCTGCTGGCATGAAGGAAACCCCTGTCCTGTCCTCCCCAGCTTGCAGAGATGCTGCGGAGACAAATCTGTTCTGCCAAGGTGAGCTGAAACCGGTAAACTGTGAACTGGGGAGAGGTAATGGGCGGCCGACACGAACACTACATGAAATAAAACAAGGGCTGATGTGCCATCTGTCACCGAGCCTGACAGCAAGAGGGTGTTAATAAGCCTCAGAATCGGGGTCAACCTAAGCTGGTCATCATTAGATTGGCAGATGTGACACACAGTTGATGGGGAAAAGTGACAGAAAGATGGGTCTGCTGTGAGGCAGCCTCCTGTCTACAGCAGCAGCAGTGCAGGAAATTGGGATGCCCTGGCTTTCGACACCGACCACAGCCTCAACACAACCTCCCGCTGCACAGAACTGAGCACAGGCTCTGTCCGAGCACCCCGAGTTTTGCTCACTACTGTCGGACAGGTCTTTCCAGCAGCTAACGCCCAGCACTTGGCATGACAAGCAAGCTGACAGGGATGCAACATGCGCGTGAGAGCCTGCCAGCTTGCATAGGGCTTGCTGGCAAAACTGAAGCCGTTTGGTTCAGTGACGCTGCTGCTCTGTTAGCAGGGCTTGTTTCAGTACCTGCAGCAGTGAGTGCGGCAGCTTGCAGGATGTGGACTGAGTGGCAGGGGGGGTGTGGGCTGTGGTGGCGGGGCAGGTCCGTGCCCTGCCACACTGCTTCGGTACTGCTACTTGCATTTGGGGACATCCCTAGCAGAGGAGCTGGCACTGCTGCTTACAAAAGGCAAGCGTCCTTAGAAAAGGCCCTTTCTGCTCTGTGACAACACCTGCAGAGAGAGGACAGGGGCCTTCCCCCCTGGAAGCTCCCCAGACTAAGGAGAATCTGGAGGACAGAGTCCCAGGTACAGCAAATTTACACAGGTGCAAGTAATTCACAGGGATATCTCTCCAAAGAGCTGCAAGTCATGTTTGCTCTGCAGGCTTGAGTATCACCGAAAAGCCCCTGCAGACCAGCCTCAAACCAGCCCCTTCCCTGCTCCCAGTGCACATTATTCCTGGCAGACATGGACTTTGCATGCTCGGTGTTCCCTGAGCTTTGGAATTCTGAGCAATCAGGCTCCCATTTGATACCCCTTGCTGCTCGCGGCTAAGCCACTGCCCCGACGCACGTGGGAACCACAGGCACTTGCACGGGAGATCTAAAACAGCCACACACAAAGTCCTGTTGAACCAGAATTGGATGAAACACATAACAGACACCCAAGACACCTTGGACATCACTCTCAGGGTGAGTGACAGACTGGCAGAGGGGCAGAGCACTGGTGGTCTGGATGGCGCATCTAGTTCTGGTGCTGATGCCCGTGGGCACGTCCTTCTAGCTGCCTGGGACTTACTCCCCAACTACTATGTCTGTTTAGATTTTCAGCGTTCTGGGGCAGGGACCATCCCACTGTGCCTGCGCGATGCATCAGGCAGCCGCATGCACTGGTCTTCACAGAGTGGACTTGGCATGCTGGATTCCAGGAAGCGCAAGCACAGACCACAGCTGGAAGGAAAAGCTTAAAACCTTGATGAAATCAAAGAATGTGCGCACTGGACTGTAAGAGAGCCTGTTTATGTAACACACCTCTTCGCTTGTTCTCAAGGCCAGAGCTTTGGATCTCCAGCATCAGAAAAGGGCAAGCTCTAACCCTGCATGGCCCAGTAAAAACTTCCTGCAGCAGCTACAACAGGTAGGAAAGAAAAATCTAAACATCTGCCCCTTCTGCCACCTTTAAAGGCATTGTGGAATGGGCTACAGCATAACAGCACTGCCAAGGATGGGCTCATTAATCCGGATGCAAATGCCACAAAACAGCTTGTTTCAGCTGAGTTCCGGCTGAGGCCTGCATTGCCATGCAGCTCCTTGGTCCTCAGAGGCTCCTGTTGCATCTGGTTGGCCTCTTGGCATCATCTGTGTAGCTGTAGGGTCCCAGGGGAAGTGGCATGGAGGTGCTGAGGAATTCATTCACAGCATGTTGTCAAAGGGGTAGCAGTTGGCAGCTGCCCGTTCGAGCCTTCCTGTGTGCCCTGACAAGCAGAAGTAAGCGTGCATGGGGACTTTAAGGCATTCCAGATGTGACTACTGCAGACATCTGTGTCCATGCTCTCCTTCCCAGGACGGGCACAGCTTATTGGCAAGCAGCAAAAAAGCATCTGAATACCTGGAGCTTCTGCCTCTCTGGACAATGCACCAGGGAGAGGTACCTTCTGCAAGACCAGTCCCCTGACCCATCAAATGCCTCAGCCTGCCTTCAGTCTGGGGCGAAGGATGAAGAAAAGTGCTTGCTGCTGCCTAAAACCATGTCCCCTCTATTCCTCAGTGCTCCTGTGCAGTGCTGAACAGCATTTCAGCGCTTACTTTCTTTTAGCTCTGCTGAAGCTGGAGATGTTTGGCTGTAGGTGGGTGGGGAGGAGCACTGAACTCCCTTGAGTTCATTTTTGCTAAAAGCAAACTGCAGCTTCTGCCGTCTCACTGCCTTGCATCTCGTACTCCGTTCTGGGATTTGGATGTGGGCTGAGACAGCTGCAGGCAGATGCGTGTGAGCCTGTAGCTAGGGTAACCTTGCTAACACAGACCAGACAGCTCAATGTGGGAAATTTCAGGACAGATTCCCTGGAAAGCTGCCCTGCCCAGGTCTCTCCAAAGGCTGCGCAGGCGCTTGCTATAAGCACAAATCCTCCATGCTCAGCCCACAGGATGGCAGAACAAGCCTGATTAAACCGACTGCAGCTTTGCTCCTCTATTCCATAGCAAAGCAAGGTCAGGCCTGCAACTCCTTCACACCACAGGGAAAGGGAACTGCCAGACCCCAGGATCCCTGTCCCAGAGATGTATTTTCTGCACCACATGCTGACATTTTTTTGGGGATCCACTCTCCCCACCTAATGCTGAGAGGAGCACATGAGCAGCCAGGGCAAGTTTTCAACCACACCAGAAGGCAAAACCGAACCACGTGTAGCTTGACTCATTTTCTGCAAAAGCTACATGACCACAGATTCATTTAGGGCAGTGGTAGACATTGCTTCAACTGCATGTGGGGAGGGCAGCTCATCTTGAGCTCTGAAGCCCGGGTACATCGGAGGGAACAACGGCATCTTAAGAGACCTTCAGCAGCCAGGCCTGAATGCTGCGCAGGCTGACTGCACGTGGCACACCGGGCCCAGGTCTCTGGGTCTCCGGGTCTCCCTAGTATTTATGCTAGGTATTAAACAGTTCAAGCAAAAATAATGACTTTGGACCCTTGGGGAAGCCTTTTTCTTTTTCTTTTTCTTTTTCTTTTTCTTTTTCTTTTAAATAAAACTGTCATCTTCTGCACACATCAGCATGTGTGTTAAATTCAGAACTAAGTCCTGATTTTTTTTCTTCTTAGATTGAAATTGCTTAGAACCTTGTTCCTTCCATCTGACTTTTTGGTGTAGGTGTACAACATTTATTGGCACTAGCATTTAAGCTCTCCTCTCTTGTAGAGAGGCACATAAGCTTGTACACACACACATGCTGGCACAGGCACAATGAAAAAGCATTTGCTCCCCCACTGCTCACCTGCCAGCTGGGGTTACTAAACTTTTCCCTTGAAATAAAAATGCTGTGGAATAATAAGTCCCACCTGTCGGCCATTTCTTTCTTTCTTTTTTTTCCAGGTCCTTCTGCTCCTTTCATCATAGCTTCATGGAAAAGCCTTGATGTGTTATAGCTGCGTGTGCTAGAGTAAAGGCCACCTCAGCTTTTCCATTATAAACCCCAGTTTTGAGGGGTTTATAAAACTCTGCTGCAAGAAGTTTGCTCCAGGGCTGTTACAAAGCAAAGAGAAGGGGCTGGAACCAGGATGGAGTTTATTTTTTCTCCTCCTTTCTTAATTAAAATTTGGCAAGTGATTGATCCACAATACAGGCTAATCACTTGGGGTAGTAGTTTGAAAAATACATTAACGAGAGCTGAGATGTTGAGAAGTCGTTAGGGCTCACATGGTGCCAGGAAGGATTGGAGTATTTTGTCTTAAAGTTACCTCTTAAAAAAAAATGGCGTGATGTCTGCTATAAATTGGCTAAAGCAAGAAAACTCCAAAGGGAGGATTTAGGCACTTCCTGCTGTCCTGTGGGTCTAAAAATGGGCAATTTCCAAGTAGAATATGCTACCAGGCACAGAGAATAAAGAGACACACACACACACACACACACAGAGCAACTTCACCTACACAGTGCCACCATCAAACCTGGGCTCAAAGCTTGCCTATTTTATAGGAAGGAAAACCAAGGCAGAGAGATGACAGGAGGGACGCAAACCAAGAGCCAGCTTCTGCCAGGAGAGGTATCAAACTCCAAGATTCAATTGTCAACCAAGGCGACAGCCCCCTCTCCCCATACCTGCACATGAAGTAGCAGCTTCTTCTCTGCAAATGCTAATTGCTAGAGAAGCAGCTGTCCACCACTGCCGTTGTGGGGTACCTCCAGTTGTCAGGTAACAGAGTTAAAGCAATCAGGAGAGCAACCTTTTTCACAGAGCCTCCTCAAAGGGTGGAGCTCACCCCACAGGTTGTTGGAGGCCAAAACTGAAATATGTTAATAAATAACCAGACAACCTCATGGCAGATAGGAACATCATGAAGGATCAAGTGCAACATCCTCCATGCAGCTGCTGACTCAGGAGGTCCCTGTGTTGCTGGAGGCACTAAGGAATCACCCAGAAGGATTGCTCTGTATCTGCACTGTTTCTTACAAAAAATACTCCAGCCCACGTGGGATATACAGTTTTATAGCCTAGAAAAAGTGACAAGGCTAAGAACGTAGTAGTGTAATCTACCAAAGATATAAATGTGTCAACTGCAGAGCATACATATCTATCGATGGATCCCCTGGAAGCATATTCTGTGAAGAAGGCGGCTTTTTAGAAGTGACTTTTTCCTGCTCTTGCAGTTGTCATTTTCAAATAAGCCCAAGACAGGCAAGTACAAGCCTGGGGTCAGCAAATACACATAAGAAATGCTGGACCTGGCTGTACAGGTGATGGGGGAAACTCAGCAAACTGCACCTGCTCAAATAAACCTGCCCTCTTTCAGCCCCTGCATGCCCGCACCCACCAGCAGCTCCATCACTGGCAAACAACAACCTGACTTCGCTTTTAACTACATCTACTTCATAAGGAAGGATACCAGGGTTTGGGAGATCGCAGAACCACAGCTCAGAGGGATGTCAAGAACTCACCGACCCATTCCGCCAGCAAGATCTCCTCAACCTGAATTACTGCTGATGGACATGCATCAAACCTGTTCTCACAAACCTCTAAGGATGGAGGCTCTACACCTCCTCAGCAAAGCACTGCCGCGGATTGCCAATCTCTACTGTCAGAGCACTCTTCCCAGGAGAACGAAAATACGAATCTCACCCACCCGTAGCTGTAGGGTCCCTCTTGGTTAATGGGGAAGGATAGAGAAGGGCAGACAAGCCTCTTCCAGAGGGAGATTCATCCCCCATCACCCAGTGGCTCAGGGCTGCAGTCCAACAACCAGTTGAGGATGGACACCTGCCGCAAGGACGGTCAACGTTCAGGGAAATGAACCCCACCTCCTGCTGCCCAGGCTAAGCCTCCCTCCTGCAACACCATTTCCCCTCCTGTCTTTGAAGAACCTGCACGTGTTTTCAGGGGTTTCCAAAAGGGATCACAGGGAAGTCACTCCAGGCTAGTGTCCCAGTTTCTGCGTAACTTGAAAATCAACTTGAAAATCAACTAGTTCTCCGCATGTGGGATGGATGAATGAAAAATGTCACTGCGTGGAGTGCCCCGGACAACCAGCAAGTAGGGAGTAGCAAGCTCATTGGTGTGTTTTGACACAGCAATACAAAACCAGCAGACAAACCCAGCTGACAAGACAGCTAATATGATGTCCTGGGAAACCAGGCATGATCACATTGCATCAAGCAACACATTCTTGTATCCCTCTCCCTGTCTCCATTCCTGTTGTGCCTACAACCAGAAATGCCCACAGCATATGCAGCATGCAGCACAACTTTAGCCTGTGGCCCCTGGACTAGAGCCCTCAGGCAGACCAGTTCTGCTCACAGAGCAAATGGAAGGAGAGAAACCCACTCAACTCATCATGTCCGGATGCTGAGTGAAGGGATGGTTCCTCCCTTTCTCCACAGCCACCCTCAGGAGGACTGTCTAACCAAGCAGCTCCTATTGGCACTGAAGCGATGGCTAACGCAGTGAGCACCATGATCTCAGTCCTCTCAAGCCCAGGGTCCCTTTCTGCGACCCCAGCCTTTCCTTCATGTCAATCCAACACAGCAACAAGAGAGAGAGATGGAGTCTGCTCTGGTGGATGTTTCATCCTCAAAATTTGGAGCCAGTTTCATGCATTGAGCTCTAGTATAATGGTACCTAAGCTAGAGAGCTCAACAGCTGTTGGTAGAGTTGGTGGTAAAAAATGTGTCCCCCTCTCCCTTAGTAACAGAACAGTTATTTGGAATTGGACATAAGAGCCAAAAGTCCAAAAATTATATTTTCAGAAAGCCTAAGCACTTTAAAGATGCAATCCTCATCAGTGCCCTAGACACCATGGAAGTCAGAGGATACTAGAGATGCTCAGATCATTGTAGCATCGTATCCTAGAAAATGTTTAAACCTTAAACCTTTTAAAAAAAACCACTTCACCTCCTCTGGTCCATAGACAGACATAAGCACCAAATTTCACCCCATCTTCAATACCCTGCAGATGTTTAGAAGTGCTCTCAGGCACTCTGAGCCTTCAGTTCCAAGGCCTTGTTCAATACATGGTCCTCCCTCTCTCTCATAAATGCACTCACACTCTAATTTAATATTAGATCTCGGCTGGGCATATAAACCACAGGCGCACAGGAGAAAGGGGACTTTTCACCAGCAGGGATGGCAGATCTCCAGAATGTTCAAAAGGGGCCGGAAGCCTGACACAACCTGCCCGCCCCAACTCCTATTAACTCCAACAAATTGTTTATTGCACGACAGAAGAAAAATGTTGCCCCTCTCCCCAAGCCAAGCCTTTCCATGTGTGCTGCACGCGCAGGCTCCCTCCTCCTGCCCCCGCTGGGGAGCCAGCTTTATACCCAGGGAAAGGTAACAGCAGCGATTATTACACACACTATCCCACAGCTCCTCGCTTGTTAAAAAAAACAAGAGTCTCTTTTGTGCCCGAAATAAAAGGAGATACCTTAATTAGAACAATGCAGGTTGGTGAGCATTAAACACTGAGCCCAGCTGCTGTATGCCATTAAATTCATAAAAAACGGAGGGGGAAGGAGGGCAGTCTTAACGAGATTACACACATTGACTTTGATCAAGACACAAAAGCACCAAGGCGTTCCAGGGTTTTTATTGCTGTCTTCGGGCTACATTTTAATGGTTACATTAGAAACATGCGAACACAGGCTGGGAGATTTTTTTTGAGACGGGAGAGGGAGTGCGAGCATGCCTTGTGAAAAGGCCTGGTTTAATAAATTGGGGGCTGCAGGGAGAGGCTAGGACTGGGGAACACATGAGTAGCCACTTATTAATTGCTTCCCCCATGCAAGTGCCAAGTCCTAATATGGTATCTTGCTGGACTATTCCCATCCCGCCTGCCTAGTTGGCAGAAGAGCCATGTGTGGATAGCACTCAGCCAGCTTGATCCCCACCTTCCTCATGGACATCTAGAGGGGACGTGGCTCCCCCTCTGCAAGGGCAAATGCTCACCCCTGAGCACCTGGAGCGGGATTTCCCAGTCCTTATGAGCAGCTGTGACCGCTGCATGTGAAACAAAGGGGCCTGACTGAAGTTGAACTAAGTTGCTGCTGAGCCTAAGAACAGCCTGAAATCCGTGCCACAGATTTAGAAGATGACTTGAGGCTGCTGGGAAGACTTCACAGTAAAGAAAATGAAAAAGAAATTAGTGTCTTATCCTCCACTTGTCGCACTGCTGAAGGACAAGATTACACTTAGCAAAGGTGGCAGAGCACACATTCATCCAAACATCTCACAGCTACGTACCCACATATGTGTCTTTTATAACATGCTGCTAAAATGTTTACAAAAGCTTGTATAATCTAAATAGTGGCAGGGTGTAGCTGAAGAGCTATAAAATACAGCCCAAGGGATAGCCAAGTTATTGAGTTGCTATTAGTACTCAAGCCCACAGGCACTTCACCGTCCTGGTAACTTTTCTTGGACAAGACTTTTAAAAGGCAGGATTTAAAGGAGCATGATCGGCTTAATCGTAATTCCAAGCGCACAACACGTTCTATAAAGTAGATTTTGTAATGCCTTACAGGAACAGTTTTTAGGAGTGGCATTCCCTTAGATTTTTTGCAACCCAACACTGTATCATCTTGCTAGCAAGAGAACTAGAAAACACAACTGACTATTTTCCACTCCCCAACCTGAATAAAATGAAAGCTTGAAAATCAGCTGCACAGGAGAAATGAAAGGCTGATTATAACGCCCACAGTTTTAACAAAGGAAAGGAAAACACTTAATAACACCCTGAATTTTAACCTGATGACCTCTGATACATGTATGAACTACTGCTGCGTTGGGTCACCTATTCAATGTTCAAGGTAATCCCCAATCTTCCAAACAGAATGGCATACACTTGAAAACTGCACAATGCTATTTCAAATAATCTGAAAAATATAGATTCGTATTCATAAAAGCTCCCTTCCATATCATCTATCCTGAAGATGATTCCCTTTGCTTCAGGGGAATATTAGGTTTCTCAGAAGCTACCCGTTCCATGAATCTCAGTGGAGTTGGCCTCTACTCTCACAGCTTTACCTCTCTGCATGGATGCCCCACAGGAAATTTCTGTAAGGCAAGGTTGTCCCCAACATAGAGCTCTTACATGAGCAATGGCTGTCCCCACAGCAGCAGAGAAGCAAGCAAGAAGCAGGATTGCACTTTGGTCATGATGACTCAAACGAAACTCACTCAAGTCAAAGCTAGAGTGGAGTGTTAAACAGCAAGGCTTGGGAAGCCTGCATGCACAGCACTCACATTGTTTAAAATAAAGCAAAAAGCACCTTTCCCATGGTGATTTAAATAAAGTATCCCAGAAGACAGGAAAAAGTCTGTAAGTCAACAAGAAAGTAGGCAAGAGCCTCACCAGAGTCCGCAGCCAGCATTCTTCACAGTGCACGTGCCAGCACTGAATGGAAGTCAGGGGCATTGTGTAGGAGTCCTGAGGAGAAGAAGCAAACAAGTTATTTCCATAGCAGGGATCTACTGATTCTTTGCTCCCGACCCCACTACAACACCTTTATTTCTGGGTAACATTGCCTTGTATTTTGTATTAAAAAAATAATAAGCTTGTGTAATGTGTAAGTTTGTATTTTTGTAATGTTTGTGTAGTAGAGGTGGAAAGTCCCCCACAGTCCGTTTTTCTGGCGTCCCAGAACTCCTGTTGGAAGCCCATAATCCACTCAAGTGGTGACCTGGCTCAGCACAGTTATCACAAGAGCATCAGAAGTTGCTGTGGCCACCTGCCATTATTCCCATCAGAAAGGTCACCAGATCATACAAAAACCAGTGACAGGGTAAGATTAACCCTTATCACAACTCTTAGCTCTGCGGGAACAGCTTAACTACATCCTAAGAATGCTGCTGCTATTTTGGCAGATGTGCCTTGAGCTATTTCCTACCATTGCTAATAAACCTCTGGAAATCAGCAGCAAGCTGTTGGCCCTTCTGTGGGATGAGGGATGGGGACTGCACCCCCATACCTCCAGGTCATGAGCTGGGAGAAAGAGCAGCATGAATCAAGCTGAAGTTGCAGAGGGAGCCCTTTGCCAAGCAGAATTTTCTCCCACTATCATCAGAATAAAAACCTAACAGGAGATGCAAAGCTTTGCAGGCTCAGACCATCAGAGGGAGCTGCTGCCCTTCTTTAAGAAGGCTACAGAATCACCACAGAGCAAGCAGGACATTGACAACTTTTAAATGCTCAGGCAACATTCTTGTTCCCAAATCATATGGTGGGTCTCAGATCACAGATTCTGCTCTCTCCTGTGCATGTAAATTTGCACACGCAGGGAGAGGATGCTGGTATCTGGGAGTTTTCTATAGGAAGGCTGAAAGTCTTCCAAAGTTGGGGCTTTCTTGCCCCGATACAGATGGACAGCTACAAATACCAGTGGAACAATGCAATAAAGAAACTTCAATTGCTAAAAAGATGTAGCACCTTCATTTGGAAGGCTAATTGGTGTAGAGGGACAAAGATGAGTTCCCCCACTCCACTCAAAAAAAGAGGAAAACTTCTCCCCTCCTCAGCAAAGATACCAAGACATTTCTGATTCATTACCACAAGTGGAGTGCTACTCACCATGCAAATGAGACATTTATAGCGGTCCCCACGGGAAAGCTGCCTTTCTAACTCACGGACACGAGCCTTTAACGCTTCAAATGTTGTCACTGCAGAGTCTTCTGTAATTCTGCAAAAGATGATGGAGAGTGAGCATCACCGAGCACACAAGATTGTTAAGAGTTTGGGGGAAAAAGGATCCCACAACAGGTACCGCACAGGAAATGGCAGCATTCGAACTAATACATCCAACTGGGATGAAGAAGAATTCCTGAAAAGCCCAGTGTGAATTATTTGAGGTGTCCTACTGAACACTTCCAAACACATCACAACAGAACACAATGGGGCTGGGGATGTCAAATTCATACAGAGTAAGTTTCTGCAAGACACGGACATTTAAAGAACAGATTTTTTTGTTTGTGTTTTGTTTTCTGCCTCTTTTCTTGTCTCCCTTAAGAGATTCCTCAGGACCAAATGCTTTGGACAACGTTCTGTACGTTGCTTTAAAGCTGGTGAGATAACTTTCTGTGGGCAACAGGACCTGCTCTTCCCCTTCGAGAATGGAGGTCTTTGGTGGCCTTAAACCTTGTGAAACACAAAATCAGCTCATTACACAGGATCAACATGATGCTTTTATATTAAAGAAACCCCTAGCTTTTTGGATTCTAATACTGAAAAAAAGGAGAAACCAAAAGCAATGGACACTGTGCCAACAGGGTGGCTATAAAAGCAGCTTTACAATCTCTGCTTTCCCATTTCCTAGGGTCATTTTTGATGGGCAGCATTATCTCTTTTGTCACAGAGGCGCTGTGCTGAGGGCAGGCAAGTGTATTTTCATGGTTCTGTGAGGCTGGTGAAAAGAGCAACTTGCCAACCTAAAAGCAAGGGCAGACAGCAATGCTTAGCAAATGAGATGCAGGGAGCATTATAGACAAGGATGTGTCACTCCAGCATACTGCAAAATCTGATTTCCACACAGTGCAGGCATAAGGAAGGGCCCTCAAGCATTCCCCAGAAAAGGTTGAGAGTATTGCATTGAAGTTAAGGCTTTCACTCTTGTGAAAAAACAAAACAAACCAGCAATTTTCACGTATGTCAGTGAATTTCAGGCCCGTCCAAGCAGACTCCAGCTCAGAAGAACCTGAAGAGTACCTCGCCACCAGATGCTGCATCAATCACAACATAACCCACAGTGGCACCTATGTGTTCTACCTTTTTAGAGGATGATTCATCAACAGGTGGATAAAACATGGGTCTAGTGGAATTACTACAACCAATAAAGTGAGCTGCAATCTCAGCACTCCCACTGCATGCACACACTCGCTCCTTTGTTCATTAGTCACTTGTTGCTGGCGTGCAGGGAGGGACCTGAGGTATCTCCCATGAGGTGATTCTGCTGGCTTTTCCCAAGGCCTGGAAACAGAGCTAGTCAAAAAGATCTTGAGTGATTTTTCTAATTATGACACTTCAGAAGAAACTGGAGCTGCAGGAGTGCATATGGTTAAGTACCAGGCATTATAAAGCTCCTCCAGCTTCACTCCTACCTTTGTACAGATCAGACACTCTCTGCACGAGCTAACCAAGGAGGGACCTTCATCAGAAGGAGATTCATTGCAAATGACAGCTGCTAGGAAATGGTAACAATTTTAAAACTGCAAAAAAGGCAAAGAAATACATGTCCTGTGATAGCCTAGTGGGTGAAGACTGCCTGGGGACAGGGACACTGTGGATTCAAGTTTTCGTTATCAATAAATATTCTTTGGAGCAAAATGAAAGAGCTTCAGTATGAGACAGCACTGCCTGCTGTGAAACACCCACTCACTCCTACTCACTGGTATAAATTATTATCATCTCCCAGTTTGGGTTCTCACCCTCAAGGAAGAGTTGTTAGTGTTTTCAAAGTCTAGAAAGGTGTTAGTTTTGTCCAAGGAAGAAACAGAATTATTTATTTATAGCTTGAAGATTATTGTTGGATGAGAAGATTGTTTCCCTTCCAGTCTGGCCCATCAACAAGCTGATGCTGGATGAAGGCTGCAGTTGAATTTGACTTTCTGGAATCCATTTCTCCTTCCTGCATGCGTAGGGGCACTGCAGTTTTCAAAGCCAGTGAGTGAGGCTCCTGCCCAAAGTGAGTGGCAAGCAGAACCTCAACCCTTGCTAAATTCTCCTATTACTATCCATGGAGCTACCCGTCCTCCTCTGAAGGGCAGGTGACTCAGCAAGGAAAGAGAAAAGTGGAATCCTTGAGCAGATCCAAGCAAAGGCCAATTCATCCCCAGTTCCAGCGCAGTAACAGTCAAAGCTTGAAAAGGAAAAATTTGCCTCTGCAACAACTAGAGGAGATAGAAAATGGCTTGTTTATAGAAGTCTAAATGGCTGACCCCCATCGGCCAATTTCGGAAAGTCTTTGAGATAATCGCACCTGTCCAGTAATAAACGAATGAATCAGAAAAGGAGGCTGAATAGAGGTATAAGCAATAATGCTCAGAGGCTGCCTGATACAATGGCCAATCAATAGGAGGGCTGTAGATCAGGGTGCTAGTTAGCTGGAAAATTACCGCACCGCTGCGTGCGTCACGCTGTAGGGATCCTGGACAATCAATGTGGGAGGTATTGATTTAGTTATTATCACTTCATACGCTCCAGACATTGTTAAATATACATTTATTAACAAGACTGGGGTGCATTGGTAAGAGAGGGAGCTTTAGCCACTGTAATATCTCCCAGCGCTGATCAAAGCTCAGCTGTGACAGACTTTAAACTCCATGCTCTCCCTGCCAAGTGTGCTCTCAGGACAAATCCTGACGCACAGCATAGTGCCAAAGACGTAGCTCCTATCTCACAAGAGAGAAATTTTGGCCACAAGTGACTATTTTGCACTTGAGATTTCAGGAAAGGCTCCCGGAGCAGGAGCAACCAGGGATGTGGCGGCCAAGGGTCAACCCGAAGTGAGCGATAATTGCATGGTTGCTTCCGAAAAGCCAGAGGAAATGAGGTCAAGGGAAATAGGGAGAACATTAGTAAATAAAGGAAACTGGAACTACCTCCAGGGATGGAATAAAGATGAGAGTCACTTCCCATGTGTCTGGCTCCCGTGGTGGCAAGCACACTTGGGACACATGCCATTCCATTTAGTGACATTTTACCATCAACCTGCTGCTTGTATCCTAAAGATAAGCATCACTTAGGAGCAACTCTTCCTGCAGCAACAATCTTGGGAGCTCCCTCAGGCTTCCCTCTTGTGTGCACACCTCATGTGCTTGCCCGGACACAGCTGGGAGCAGCCTGTGCAGTATCTTTACAGGGTAATGCCGGGGTGGAGCGTGGGTCAGAAAGCCAAGCTCCATAGACGGCTAAGGCTGTGTACAAGTTACCCTGCCAAGGGAGGCAAAGGGAATTACAGGGGAGAAGGAATTGGCTTCCACAGTCCTGCTCTCCCCGCTTTGCCTTGACCTCATGCTGGATGTGGGAGGCCTTTTTTACACAATTTTGCGCCTCAGCGCTCTGATTTGACGTGTTTGGATAACGCCATTTATCAGCCTCCAGAGAGATCTGCTGAGCACAACTTCTGCCAAGGGCAATGCCTCGAGCCCCAGCGCTGGTGCTTCTCCAACCACATGGGTGTGAGTGGCCTCACTGATACCTGCGTTGTCCTCCCTGGCTGAGAACATATCAAGAGGCACATCCACACTCTACTCACTGTGGACCTACATCACCACAAAGAGGGGAGCCTGAAAGAACTTTTATACAAGAGCAAAAACATGAAGAGAGGGCTCCTCACGGAGGAAGCTTGGTCCTGCACTTCTCTCTGGACTTTGTGGATAGCTCTTCAACAACTTGGCAGTCACAGTTGAGGATGCCAGGTATCAGGGAGCAAGCCTATGACACCTGGCAGACAGCACGTGACAGTTTTTGGTCTTTGTGCCCAAAGCATGTTTTTCTACTGTTCATAGCATTTTCTCCTCAGCACTAAAAATAAGAACAAACTTTCTTGCTTTGAGCAAATCCTTGCTTTGTTCAGGTAAAAGGCCAGCAGAAGGACATAAAAATACCATGTAAAAGGACCTAGCTGTATCTTTGAGCTGTTACTCAGCAATCACCTCCTGGGAAATCTCCCCTGGGAATTGGCTGCCCCCCGCCCTTGCAAAAAAACTTTAACCCAAAAGCTGGTTATTTGTCAAACATTAGCATGCATGTGATCTTTGTTTCTCCAAATTAAATCGAGCAATTCCTACCCGCTGTCCCAGTGGGCAATCACAAGCAATTCCGTTAATTAAATTATCTCTGATTCTGCAGCTCTGGAATCTCTCAATTGACTAAGTCTGTGCTTTATCATCAACAAAATACTGGACCAAAAAGGAAACAAAAAAATGCTGATGTCAAAGTGATTGGCTTCAGTTAACCCTTCCCAGCTGGATATTAAGGGCTGCTCGAGAAACTGTTAGACTGGAACGGGCCCAAGAGCAAAAGCCTCGTACCAGAGATACCAGTAGCAGCTGTTCACTTGTGTTTCGTTTCCATTGTACAGAAAAAAAATACATCACTGCATCCAGCATGCTGCCTATTTGAGAGCCACAGAAAGATGCAAACTATCAGCTGCTGAAGAGGCAGAAACACACCTCAAAGATCAGTCAACCCCTGCGAATACCCGTTCCTCCCCTTACCCAGATCTCACTTGATGTACCCCACGCTGTTGAGGAGTCTTCATAAAACATTCCCCTTTGGTTTATTTCAACTGGATATAAATTTTCCTTTCTTCATAAATGGCCACACTGTACATAGCATTCCATAAATTTTTACAATTCCACTGTTTGTATGTACCTTGTAAAAAATGCTTAGCACTGATTAAATGCACCACCAATAAAATTTCATGGGCTACTTTTGACACTTGATGTTCTGACCTTCCTCTCTCTTCCTCATATATTTATTTTTGGTTTTGTATGCCTGTAAACACAGAGTGGCAGAGGGGAAAATGTACAGTACCGCTGACAATCCCGAGAGTGATGTCTTTATTTTTAAACAAAGCCTTTATCTTCCCTTGTCCGAGGTGGAGAACCTGATCCCAGCAGAACATACATGCCATTTCCCTGCACCAGGGGCAGAGGTCAGGTCGCTAGCAGCTTACATATC